CAAGACATTTTGTCAGTGACAGTAATGCTGCTGTCCATTAGTGTCAGCTACGCCTGCTAGAATCCGCCATACTTTAACACAGAGAATAAATTCAAATAGATGTCGTACATTATTTTAAAAAATTTTTTTTACAGCATTGTAAGAATATAAAAAAATTGCAAATGTGACCAGTTTGTGCATGACTGTGACCTCGTTAATGTTAAAGTACAGATCACACACCTAATAGCTAAAACATTTAATGCTCTTAAAGGCATTGCTTACAGGGATACATTATTAAGTGATCAGTTAACATTAACTCAAAATATCTGGTGGCACAGTTGCTACAGAAGAGCTATATGAAAACAAGCATCATGTAATGTGAGTTTCCTCACAGCAATGTAAGTTTTTACACAATATATTGGGAATAACAAAAGATAACTTTAACACAAAGCTTGAGCTCCTCATCAACTCAACTCATCTTTCTTAATAAACTTAACTGAATGAAGATTCAAGACAATTAACATTGATTCAAAACATTTTTTGAGAGAAATGTTTACAGTTTTCCTTGTTGTGTTCTAGTTAATGGTCTAACATTAAGTAGCACCATTTTACTTGGGCCTTATGAACAAAATGAGTCACATTTTCAAAGAAAGAACTTGCATAATACAGCACTCAAGAAAATTAACCCCACTGGCACAGCAATAAAGCATGTGCCACTTCTTTGTGAACCTCGGGAAGCTGCAAATATTAATTTAAGTGCTAAATTTACCTGAGCTTGCACTGAAAAGAACGTCTTATAAAATACACCGTGATTCAATGTAACTGTGTTCACATATTTGGCTTTCAAACAGCCCAGTAAGGTAAAGGATTATTAAACCCAAAGCACAGAAACACATCCACTATATTAATAATGGATTGCATTGACATAGTGTATTTCGAGACCCTCAAAGCGCTTCACAACTCCACTATTCATTCACTCTCACCATCGGCCCCTCACTAGTAGGTGAAGTGTCTTGCCCGAGGACACAACGACCAAGACAAACAGTGCTGGGGATCGAACCAGCAACCTTCCAGTTACAAGATGAGCTTCCCAACCCCCTGAACCACGGTCCACAGTACTATAGTACACTAAATTGAATTTAATCATTGCTGTATTCGAATTCTGTTACCACTCCAGAGATGCATGGGTGGTATTGTTTTTTTTGGGGGTTTTTATGGATTTCAAAGGGGAATACCAAAAATGTGCTTCATGCCTCCATTAAAAAGAAGCCTAAGATACAACTGTGTAACTGTTTTATAGCCATGTCCTGGGTAAATGTGACATTCGTTTAAATGCCTCAAAACCATATGATAAGACATGTCTTAAGACAGGTCCTAAGATATCACAAAACTCATTCCTTGCATGAAGCACAGTCACACAAAGGTTTAATTCATTAGTCAGTGACACATAAAACAAGGAAGAGCTTCTTAAAATCCAAAGCCTGTATTTAATTTCTGACAGTCTGTGTTTATCTTAAACCCCCCCTGGCTGTCGAACAGTGATGGTTTTTCGTGTAACTACTTGACCTAAAGACGGCCCAAAAATTTCAATAACGTCTGTGTTGATTAGAAAAGAGATTAGCGCCCGATGTCATCTGATCTACAGATGACATCAGGCGCTGCATTATTAACACAAAAATAAATAAATAAAAATGTGAGCTTGGAAAAAAGGCAAACCCCTGTTGAACCTTTTAGCAGAAAATCACAACTTAACTTAAATTTTGAAATGCATCTGTTTAGAATGTATAAATAGCACAAAACTCATAAGGTTTTAACTGTGTTTCACTGGAAGTGAAAATAGCAAGAAAATTCTAGAAGTGTATAACCACTGCAAATATTAAAAGTTGTCCTCACTTGGGTGTTAGAAAAAAATCATCATAATGTCTATTTACAATTATCAGTATTATTTTAATAAGAAATAACAGTTAGAACACTAATTTTACTCACTGCAAACTAGTCTGTGCATTCAAAGCAGTGGCAGGAAAACTTGCATGTGTGGGATTTGGACATTTCCAAGACATTTAAATGGCAGCACAGGTGCTTTTATAATCTTATGACCCCTCTAAAACTCTCTTTTGATCTCTGTTTTAATCTCAGTTCAGGTTGTTTTGAATTTGCTTACTTTTACAGGTTTTCTTATATTGTGGGTATTTGTGCCTGCAGGTTCACAACAACAGAGTAGTTTTACTGACCGCTTAAAAGGCTTCTGACTGCAAGTTACACTTTAATTACACAGTTCAAGAACCTCACATCCACAGCCAGTTTAGAATCACCAATTAGCCTTACATGTATGTCTTTGGTCTTTAGTAGGAAGCCAGAGTAACCACAGGACACCCACTTGAAGTACACTGGAGCATGCCACCCCATTTCAGAGCCTTTCAGTACCTTTGTCAATGCACCCTCTGACCTCTGTATGGCCTCTGTTCTTCATGTGCATCACATATGATCACTTCTGCTGTTTTACTGTTACAGTGTTTAGAGAATCTCCCACGATCCTTTAAAGACCAGCAGATGCCTGTCTCTGTGGGATCGTGGGCAAGTATGGTGGGAATACAGTTCTCATTACAGTGTCAAGGTACCCACTGAACTCTGTAATCACTGTCCTATAAAAATTATACACAGGCATACCGTCTAAAGTTTCACAGTTTCAAAATTTCTTAAAAATACAATTTTCCTTGATTTGACCCACACTGTTGGATCTAAAATTCTTCTCAGTAGATAACGATGAACTCTGATCCACAAAAATATTTTGCACTTGTATGAAATGTTAAAATACATTCATTTTTCTGTAGTTTGGGTCACTTTAGGAAAAGTCGTCAAATGTCTGGCTAAAATAATGACATTTACAACATTTTTGTTGCTGACTGTACTGATGATCACAATAATGATGAGACCATCTGAAGCTCAATCTCACGCTGAGCTCTTCCTGATGGTTTTGAAGTCTGGAAAGTATGCTGAGAATATTTTTATGCCTTCGCAATCAGAGTTCTTGTTCCATATTTGATCTTTCTCTCAACAGAGCCGAGTCATGTTCAGTTTACCAGGCCTCCGAGGTCTATGCTGACTGAGCCTGCCCTGGGATCAAACTGATTCTAGTTCAGGGCTTAGGGGCTTTCTCTGCCAGGAGGAAGAAAATCACTGACCCACATTGGCTCTATTTACTGGGAGCCTTTCAAAGCACACATCAACGCACACATTAAAAGGACACCTCCTGGTGGACTGCTGCAATTACATGATGTGTTCATTCAATCAAATCCTGTCCATTCACAAAGTTCTTCACTCACCCTGACCATTTGATTGATGATTGCCAAGCACGTGAGGCACGTTTATTCTGTGAATGGTAAAATAATGTGTCTGTTCCATTTCAGTCTTCACCACCGACATGATTTCCACTATTATTCTTTAAAGTATGGCTTCTTATTTCCTCTAAGCCATAGTGTCAAACTCTGGCCCGCAGGCCAAATTTGGCCCACAGCCTAATTATATTTGGCCCGCGAAGCCATACCAAATTACTATTAGAGCTGGCCTACTGGTATTATACAGCTAATATATATATTGGTTAGTATTAAGCTTTGCTTGATCCATATTCAGTTTTTCAGCAAAACTTGTTTGAGTCCATAAGAAAAGATTCATTCATATATCTAGAGGAAGATTTTTTTTTTCAATAAATATTAACGTTAGCCTGCGACTTTGTTCCAGTTTTGAATTTTGGCCCACTGTGTATTTGAGTTTGACACCCCTGCTCTAAGCTATATGTATGTGGTCAGTGGTGATTCCACCAAAACGCTCAACCATTACTCTTAGCCTTGTCACCATTATAGTCCTCGTGTCTAAGAGCAAATTAAGTAAAATATATGAACAGCAATGTAAAACAGCATAGTCTTACTGCCACAGGAGTGTTTTTTTGTTTGTTTTTTTGTTTGATTGATTGTTGTTGTTTTTTTACTGTGGAGGGAAAGCCATACCAGGCAGTTCATATACACTATACTTTTTTCACTTGATGCCAGCGGCGGACAGATATGGCAGTCTCTTTCAGTCGGCCACATAACAAATATACTGAGCATGTCAAACATATATGAGCAGGCTTTTTGCAATATCTATGAAATAAAGACTGATTAGTTTTACTAGTATGTATGCCAATATGTGAGTATGTTCTTCAGTTAAAGCAACAGCAAGCAGCTCATCATAAGGAACTATTCAATCACATGAAGCCAAATATTTAAACGGTAACAATAAGGTTTTAATGGAGTGTCCGGAATAAGTAATTAGTGCAGCGACAGGTCGCCTACACCCAACTACACCATACAAACACTTATGTCCCAATTTAAGCACGTTTGGCTTCATCATTAATGTAATAAACTCGAACTCACTCAAGATGTTATTTTGCGGTTTGCTTTGAGTAATGAATTGAGCTATAAAATGGTGAATCAGCACATCCTGCTGGTGATGCATGGTTATATCGTCTTTTTTTAATGTCAAAAGAACAGCTTAGACAGATTAAAATGACCGTCTGAGTAAACGTATTTGAATTTAAATTGTATTATTAATATTATTCCGAGAAGGTCGTTGGTCTAAATCTAATCTGGTGCCTTTCTGTGTAGTGTTTACATGTTTTTTCTGGGTACTCTGTCCTCCTCCTTCAGGCATGGGTTTAAGCTAATTGTTGACTCTAATTTGACCATAGGTGTTAATGTCTGGCTCTATATAATATTAACACTGGGCAGACTGGTCACCTGTCCACGAGTCCCTAAAATCTATTATTAAGGAAACTTTTATTCATTTATTTATTGTATTCTGTCTCTTTAAACATAAATAGATTCGTATCCATTCTTCTGAATTTTAGTCAAAGACTAAAAGATTCCACTCAACGTCAGACTCGACAACGACAGATTATTTAACTATAAACTTACTGACCAACGATCAGGGAGAATCAGGATTTTACCAGGTCTGCCTGACAAATACCGGGGTCCATAGTCGGTCCTTCAGGCGCCTCGGACAGAAGTTTAGTTCTCGACTTTGATTGGTCGCTTTCGCAGCATCGTTCGTTTGACAAGTAAAACAGTGGTCCGCAGGAAAAGAAAGCTCCGTGCGCTATCTTCATTTGTACACTGCAAAGATGTCTGAGGAGCGATCAGAAAGATCCGATGGGAGGATTGTCAAGATGGAGATCGACTACAGTTCAACTGTAGACCAGCGTCTCCCGGAATGTGAAAAAATGGCTAAAGTAAGCGGGTTGTAAAAGAGGCCAGCGCCGGCTGAGTCATGGTGCAGCGAGATCAGTGTTAGCATTCAGGCTAGCATCTAGCGTTACTGGCTTTGTCTGGATAGCTCTTATGACCAAATATACTGTAAATATACTTTACTTTGTAATTTGAGGATTTTTTTACTTCCATAAACTTCCAATGTACTCTGTTTACACACACACGCAGGTATTTATTTGTTATTATACTCGCTAGCATGCTAGTATTCTTAGCGTTAGCTAAACCTTTAGCTAGTTTGCTAACCTGGAAAAGTGACTTAAACATTTTGCTGGTACAAAAGCAGGACTTACCTGTTGTCAGCTTACAGCAATAAATATATCTGACACTGTATTTGTGCATTCTTCTGTCGCAGGAGGGCAAGTTGCAGGAAGCTATCGAGAGCTTGTTATCATTGGAGAAGCAAACCAGAACAGTAAGTCGATTTACACTGTTGCAATTTGTGTTCTTGACCATTTAGCTGCAGAAATACATCTAAGAATTCGGGTCCGATGCGACAGTAACATAAATAATATAAATTGAGATTAAAATACATTCTTAAGTTAAAGTTGTTTTTCCATTCTCAAACTATTTGTAGATGTCAGATTCAGACCCAGTCTTTAATAGGTGCAGCTGATCATAGGAGTGTAAATGAATGGACACGGTTAACCAGAGAACAGTGTCGCATAATTCTCTTTGCAAAGTCTTTTTTGTAAAACAGTAAAACTGAAAGATGTGTTGATGAAATAAGAAATTAATTTTTCATGATTGCAATGTATATTGGTTAACATGTGTTTTTTTTTTTTTTTATTGTTGTTGTTTTTGGTTTGTTTGCTTGTTTGTTTGTTTTTTAATCTGCCTTTAACCTTTGTGCAGGCATCAGACATGGTATCAACCTCCAGAATCCTTGTGGCTGTGGTTCAGATGTGTTATGAAGCCAAGGACTGGGATGCACTCAATGAAAACATCATGCTACTCACCAAACGGAGGAGTCAGCTCAAACAGGTTACATACCTCTTTTGTCTTGATTCCTGTTTTGTATCAATTCTTTCCTAAAACATTCTTCTGAATCTACAGTCTTAATACAGAAACATTTTATCATGCTTCTAAAGCCTTTTTTCAAATTGTATTACAATGTATAAATATATTGCTCAGTTACATGAGCAATCATAATTACTGGTCATGTAACTGTTTTTAATGAAAACATGCTGCAATGTTATCTATAGTGTAAGATCAGGATCTGTTTTGAAAGGATTTCCTCTGAGGGGTAAAATGCTAAATACACTTTTTTGGAAAGTACCACTCCGACAAAATTTAGTCAAGACAAGTCCTTAAATTCAGAGCTCTTTTAATAAGCTTGACTTAATAACCCACAACCATTCTTTGAAAGTTAATACAACCTGAATCTGTTAGTTGTTTTTGTTTATTTGTTTGTTTTTCCTCTATTAGGCTGTTGCTAAAATGGTCCAAGAATGCTACAAGTATGTGGATGCTGTGACTGATCTCACCATCAAGCTGAGGCTAATCGACACACTTCGCACTGTGACAGCTGGAAAGGTCTGGAATATATGTGATTTAATGTTGATATCTGAAAATTTGTATAGATTTGGAAAGCTATCAAAGAAGTTACAGCTAAACAATGAGAGATTAGGCTAGCTTAAGCATTGCAGGTTGAATACGGTCAGTTACCTAAAATCTGAAAGGTGAATTTGTTTTGTAATCAATGAAATTCTTGAAAAATTCAGTTCAGTGAAAAACGGAATGAAAAAAATTTTTTTTCCACATGTATAATGCCTAAACTTCCTATCACAAATTAATATGGTCTGGTTTACACACAACTATTTTGCAAATGTCTGTTGAAGGCAGGTCATAGTAACTGTTTGCTTAACTAACAATCTAAATTTGTCCACGTCACAGATCTATGTGGAGATCGAGCGTGCCAGGCTAACAAAGACCTTAGCTAATATCAAGGAGCAAAATGGAGAGGTCAAAGAGGCAGCTGCCATTCTTCAAGAATTACAGGTAAGGAACAGATGGTTTCAATTGTATACCTTCAAGATGACGAGGTCTGTGCAGTAGTTGTTGTTTCCTTATGGGGGAGATTTAATAATTTGTATGAATATAGTTTAAAAATACATAGATTAAGATTAAATAAATATTCCCATTCATTACTCACGTATGTTCTGATCAGGTGGAGACATATGGCTCGATGGAGAAAAAGGAGAAGGTGGAGTTTATATTGGAACAGATGAGGCTTTGCATTGCTGTCAAGGATTACATTCGTACCCAGATCATCAGCAAGAAGATAAACACCAAGTTTTTCCAAGAGGAGGGCACAGAGGTATGAAACAGACCAGGAACTGGGAATTAATTAATTAAAGATGGCAATGAAATATATTTTAATGTATTTTCATGGGTGGCGTCTGTACCCTCTTGTATCAGTTTGGTAGGTTTTAGCTTCAAGGGCTAACCTAATCAAACTTTTTTCTCATGAACAACTCAGGAGCAGAAGTTGAAGTACTACAACCTGATGATTCAGGTGGACCAGCATGAGGGCTCCTACCTGTCTATCTGCAAACACTACAGGGCCATTTATGATACCCCTTGCATCTTGGAGGACAGCAGCAAGTGGCAACAGGTGTGTGTGTGTGTATAACTTTGTGATTAGCAAATTCAGCTTGCTGACTTGTTTACAAATAATGACAGGGGTTTCCTGTAGAAAATGATACTGTTTGTTTTGGTTTTTTTGTGGTTTTGTTGTTTTTTTGTAATATTTGCAGGTCTTAAAGTGAGATAAATACAACCTCAGATGAGCAATAACAGATGACGTATTGCATCATGTAATTATTTAACAAAAGTTAGTGTGTGTGTGTCTGGGGAGGGGGCACAAAACCCAGTACACGCACCCCAGTACGCCCTAAGATTCAATGGGTAGTAGAACTACTTTTGACAGGAATAACTTGAAGTAATAGCTTCTGTACAACTCAGTCTCTCACAGTGTTGTGGAGGAATCTCAGCCCCCAAAACTGCTTCAGATCACTAAGCTTTGTGGGCATTTGTTTATGCACAGCTCTCTTAAGGTCACCCTGCAGCATTTTAATCTGGACTGGACTTTGACTGGGCCATTGCAACACTTTGGCTGAAAAAGAAAAGCGTGAATCTGTTATAGATTTGCTGGTGTCCTTGGAATCATTGTCCAGCAAACCATCCACCATTAAAGAGGTGATCGTGCTAGCTGATGATCAGTTAATCAAGTGTATTTGATTAGCAGCACCTGGCTGCTACTTAGACACTTAATTCCTATGCAAGCAGTAGGGATGTACTTAATTTTTCACTCACTGCTTCTGCATTTTAACTTGTTGAATAAATAATGAGATGGTGTAGTATTTCCTGTGGTGGTGTTCAGTTGAGGTTGTATTTACCTAAGTCTAAGACCTGATAAGGACCAGATAGTTTGTTTTTTTTACACATAAAACTTAGAAATGAAAGAAGAAGATCAGTTAATCAAGTGTATTTGATTAACCTGACTAAATGTGTCCTAAAGTATTGGAGGGAGACGTTCTCTTAGTCCTGTTACTGAAATCTGTATTTATGTGTAACAGTTAATTAGGTCTTTTTTTTTTTTTTTTTTT